CACACACACACACACACACACACACACACACACACAATATTTTGTTTTTTAGAACACTTTTTTTTCTCCCCCAGAAATTGTGATACAATTTCTCAGGATTTCTTGGTGGATAAACAGTTCAAAAGAACAGCATTTATTTGCAATAAAAATCTTTTAAACAAATTATAAACATCTTTACTGTCAGTACTGTCATACTTCTAATGTGTCCTTCCTTGATGGATGAAAGTATAAATTTCACTTTAAAAAAATTACTGACCCCAAAATTTTGTATATATGTTATTTTTGACAGGAATTGCAGACATACCCTTGCATTCTGGATTCGTTGCAAGGAGTGCTCAATTGTATAACCTATTGAATGAAACAATAGAACTAATAAAACAATAATCATATTTTGTCATTCATTGAGGTAAGGTAACTTGCAAATCTTTCGACAGCAATGTTTTGGTAAAACACTTACTATAGGCATTTTACCTGTTCGCAAAAACTTTTTCTCTAAAAACTCACCATGTTCTGAACGTAGGTGAAATTCACATCTGGGCTTGCAATATTTAGGCGAACAGTATAATATGTCTCTAAAGGAGAGGTAGGAGAGAGAACTTGGAGTCTGATTGGTCCATGACACATTCTTGTACCTACTCTTTCATAGAATAATTATGTTCCACTCACCATTGTTGGTAGACACATGACACTCACAATATTGTTGGTTCTCAACTAAAAAACAAAACACACCAAAATTTCATTTTTGTATATGATATTAGTCTGACTGGTATTAGTCAGAAAATGATGACCAAATAATACTGTAAGTCCAAAGAGTAATAACACTCACCGTTGCAGGATTGATTAGCAACCAAATCTTTAGGAATGAAACCATTCTCCTTATAAGAACTAATGCAAGAAAGAGAGAAACATTTAATCAATAATACAATCGCACATAAACACTAAAAATGCCAGAACTAATTTAAGAGTGTGGCAAGTCAGTAGCATATTCTACCATGTGACATTGACAGGTCCCTGGGTCTTGCAGACATCATCATAAGACATTGGAGATGTGCAGTGCACAAACCCCCCTCCAGGGGGCGTAATATTGTGATCTGGGCACAGTCCTTTGCCTGTAAACAAATGCCATTCAGTGAGACTTCAAAAACAGACAATTAATCATGCATTATCTTAGAAACGGCTGTCCATTATTGTTAAATGATCATTTGGATCACTTTTATTGTGCTTTTAAGGTGCTTTTTGTCCTTTTGAAGCCTAACAGACCCAGTCTGCATTCACTTTCACGTTTGGAATAACAAATGGGTGAGTAAATTATGACAGAATTATGTGCTTGTCTCACTCACCCACTCTTTCTACATCTCCCAGAAGCTGGATTTGGATCGATGGGTTTATAGTCCCGTATTGCACCAGCCTTCGGAGGATGCATGTATTCACAGGTTGGCTCAGCTGTAGTAGCACAGTGCAATTTGTCCTTCTGTAAGAATGGGGGCAGTAGTAGCGTTACTTGATATTGAATTTCAACGAGATCATAATTGTTGTGTAGCTTATAGAGTTAGTTTGACTTACTGGATGTTCTGCTTGGCTTCACATCTAACCTCTGCAGTCTATATTATTGAAAAAGGGTTATTTTATAATGATGCAGTGTTGGACAACATCAAAGTTCAGCCCTGCCCTGTTCTCTTTTTTTAACAAATTATACCTACCACAAAGACTATGTCAGTTTGACATGATGTAGTTTTGATTCCTGTTGTTGAAACTCCAGCAGAGCAGGTGCTTTTATGAAAAAGATCTGAAAACTGATTATAGAGGGGGGAAGCATCAGGAATTTTAGAATTTCAAAATGAAAAACCCTTTATTTTATACAATACTCTCTTCTAGTTTATAAAATAATTATTCAATACAAAACTAATTTATTATTATTATTAGGAAAACTATAATAAATTATTAGGTTATTTATTCATTTTTTAAAATAAAAATGCTCTTACCCAAATTTGAATCTCTCCCTCCGTCATATTAGAGCCTTTCACCTCCACAAGCATCCAGTAGTATGATGCTGTGACGTAAGAAGAGAGATATTATTACACATCCCCAGGAATCACCAGTTTTAATCTAAATGATGTCTTCTAAGAATAAAATAGGCTTTGTCTAAAAATTTTTTCTTTCTTACATTCATTAGCGCAGGACTGGGAAAAGTTACACTGTACTGCAAATGGCTCTGAAACAAATGAAAAGACACATCAAAGCATTGAACCATTAGGATTCATTTTATAATGTATAAATTATGTAATATGTGGCAGAATGAGAGAATGAAGGTAAGGAATTTAATTTAATATCCTGTAATTATCACCGAAATAGAAGCCATCTGTCTTTTTCCAAGAAAGAAGAAAAAAGACATAATCAGAACACAGTGATAATAGCCATACCTGTGAATAATACATTGGACGTCATTGTTCGTAGAACCGCTGTCTGATTGGTTACTTGAGTCGCGACAGTTTGTGCAGTGGAAGATCTTTCTGTCGTATGATTGACTGTTGTTTCAAAAGTACCGACTAGATGGCTAGTGTGATTGCTTGAACGTGACTGGGCAGATATTGACGTGCTCTGGCTAGTTTGAGTGGTTATGTAAGACATAAGTGAGGCTGGAGTTGGAGGTGACGTGTTTAATCCACTAGCGTTTGACATAGTAATGTTATTAACAGCTGAACCAGATTGAATAGCAGGTGTAATAGTGTTTGATGTGGTAGTTAATGTGAGGGGAATTTGTGTTGGTGCACTGAGAGTCACTGAAGGTTTAGAAGTTGTTGTAGAGAGTCCTGCAGGATTTGATGTGGTTCTGGCTTGTGTGGTTGAAGCAGAGACTGTGTTTAAGACCTGATTCAAAGATTGAAGGTTCTGTCCTGTGGACAGGAACAGGATTCAGTTTCTAGATGGATGGCTAGTGTGATTGCTTGAACGTGACTGGGCAGATATTGACGTGCTCTGGCTAGTTTGAGTGGTTATGTAAGACATAAGTGAGGCTGGAGTTGGAGGTGACGTGTTTAATCCACTAGCGTTTGACATAGTAGTTATGTTATTAACAGCTGAACCAGCTTGAATAGCAGGTGTAATAGTGTTTGATGTGGTAGTTAATGTGAGGGGAATTTGTGTTGGTGCACTGAGAGTCACTGAAGGTTTAGAAGTTGTTGTAGAGAGTCCTGCAGGATTTGATGTGGTTCTGGCTTGTGTGGTTGAAGCAGAGACTGTGTTTAAGACCTGATTCAAAGATTGAAGGTTCTGTCCTGTGGACAGGAACAGGATTCAGTTTCTAGATTCATCTCCTTTAAAGCATTACTGCTCAAAGTCAACTAGTCAACTATGTTGACCCATTCAACACCAGTACTACACAAAGTAAATGGCTCACTGACTGAAGGTGATCTGGAACTTTCTACTCCAGCTTTTTATATTCCACAGCATCTTACATCTGTTACTGACCTTGGGTGGTGGATTTCAGTGAACCGGTAATTATTGAAGTCAAAATCAATTGGAGTGGACCTTAGAAAGGGAGGGAAGAGAGGGAGGAAGAGACAAATTGTCATTCAACACAACGCTAAACAAATTCCATAAAAAAATGTAAACTGCAAATAGACAGAAAGTACAATGCTTTAACTTTATTTGTATATCTATATGTTGCTGTGGTGAAGTAGAGATGGAACACTTACTAGATGTCGAGACAAACTCTCGGGTGCTGGCTGAACCTTGGGATGCTGTAAGTGTATAAAATATTAAACTTTAACCTTTAAACCTTAAAATCAAAAATAGATTGGGTTTCTCACAAACATACCTATGCAATTAATTCATTAAGTGAAAGAACAGAACACAAGTTTACACAGGTAACACCTTTCTATTTGCGGAACTGTAATCTTTCTTGATTAAGATGTTATTGATATGCAGATACAGCTGATTTCTACTCAACTACATAAATTTTTCTCTGCAACCCTGTCCAATTTAACTTCAGACAACAAGATTACCTAACCCATCTGCTATTTAAAACATCTGATTGCGTCATGCACCGTGCCTGGAACAGGCATGCCTTTTCAGTGCAGCATGCCGTGAGATCGAGGACAAAAAGAAGAGCTACATTCGCAGAGGAGTGGAAATGACATTGACGTTAAAGATAAGCACTGTCATGAGAAGTATTGATTCCTGGAAACTATCCTAATTTCTAAGTAAATGATGCCTTCTGATATAAAATTGTTACTATTGTGGAGGTTTGGTTACAAACTTTCTGTTCAGAGGTTTATATTTCATTTTGTATATATTTCATTCAGATATTTCGTTCATTTCTGCTCCTTTGTGCCCTGTTTAGATTGTCCAAGCAGCTGTTTTAAATGTGATGGAAATGTACATGCTGTTAAGTTCCAAAAGGACAAAAATAATAACTCTTATTATTATTTGGGGAACACTGAAATTAATTTGCTGAAACTCCTGTCATAGCTCTCAAATCTTTGTGCACATTCAATTCAGAACATTCAGATGTGCCATGTTGTAACTGGTCATGAGAAAGCAGCTTGGACATTCTGTAAAATATCTTCTTTTGTGTTCCTTAGGAATAAGCGTGTTCTAATAAACTGTCCTGTAGTCTTTGTATCCTTCTTTATAGTGAATTGGTTTCTTTTGACAGTTATGTAATTCATGGGTTTTCAAACCATTGTTGGACCTGGAGACTCCCCTCCAGTGCATTTTGCCCTTATTTAAAACAGTTGAATTATTAGATTTCTCCATGACCAGGAAACTTCAAAAATGTGCCTTGCTGGGAAGCCCCAGGAAGTTTGAAAACCCCTAATTTAAATTAACTGACTCTGATTCCTTTTTATAGGAAATATTTATTTAAATGCTTATAGTTTGGGACGTAACTTCCTCAAGACATTTACCCACCACCACACTACAATAATAATCAGTGAAGTGAATTCACACTTGCACTGCACTTACTGGATGGGGCTGTAGTTCTGTCTGCACTGCGTTTCATACGCAGATGCCTTAGACCTAAAATATGAAATATAGAAATAGAATTGGCATGCACAAATGATAGAAAGTCAAGAATGTTACTACTGCCCTTCTTGTACCCTGCATCAACATCTGATCTGATAATTGCAATCAAGACATCCCAGGTTTTCATACATCTGGATGTGTTTTGAAATGTTTCAAATATCCTGTAGGATATTTGAAATTGATTTGACTTCATAATTTCCTGTGGAGGAGAAAAGGCATGTCTTATATAGTGAACTTATTTATGTCTAGAAACGAAAAGCCAGATTTGATCTGATGTATATGGGATGCATCTTTTAACTGATTTTTCTTTTTTTTAACTGTAGACATGTATAATTTTAACCATTATAGGTTGAGCAATCACTTTTAGATTAAACATTACAAAGACTTCTTTGGAATAAAGGTGCGACGACATTTATTGTTGTTAATCAAATTTTCATATGCAAAACCCAGTCAATTAAAAAGGGATCTGGAATTTCACTTGAGGGTTAACGATTTTTCACAAAAGATGGTCAGATGATAGTTACCTTCTGATGCAGGGAACAGGCAAGGCTATTGACTCCCCTGTTGGAAAATTCATATTACGCCAGTAACTGTGTGCTGGAACATGATAACTGGCTTCTAGCTGGTTCAAAATGGTCATTAGCCTGTCCTAGCTATAGTCATTAGGTGGTCTAAATTGGTCATTAACTGGTTCAAGCTGGTAATTAGCTGGTGCTTGTTCATCATTAGCTGGTTCTAGCTAGTCTTTATGTGATCCAAGCTGGTAATTTGGTGGCCATAGCTAGTCGTTAGGTAGTCCAACTTGTTCATTATCTGATCCTGGTTATTTATTATTCAAGATTCTCATTAGCTACAAGTACATGGAGGTGGCTTTTATGGACCAGCAACAAACTTACCAACTGGTCATACTAGTTTAAGGTAGTCAAACTAGTTTTTGGAATATGGGGATTAGTCAACCAGCTTTAATGACCACCTTAGACCAGCTAGAAACCAGCTGCCATGTTCCAAAATACAGCTACCAGCTAAAGCTGGATTTTCCAACAGGATCATTATTTTATCTAGAAATAATACATGCATGAAAGTGAGTTTTCTTGAGAAGTTAAATTAGTGAAATCATGCAACATTAAAACATGCATCATCTTCATCATGCATGTATATGAAGACACTACACACAAAATGTCCCGACCAATCCACATGCTGGTCTTTACAAGCAAGACGTCTGCTTGGTTGGTTCAGTCAGCAACATTCTAAGCTTTAAATAGCTTTGAAGACGCTACAAAAAAGGACTCTGCATACTTTTAGTTCAGAGCGAGAAAGGGCTTCAGGCTGTTTATGGCTTGCCGAGTTGATCTGACTCTGGATTATACACAGTCATTAGGCAAATTATCACTGCTATTTTCAGTTCGCCTCTCTTATCAACCGGTTAAACAGGCTTCCCTTTTGTGAATCTCTGTACTCACCACATTGCAATGTATAATCTTGTACTCTTGCCTGGGCACGTGTGACGGCCCAAAGTCGTGAGTCCCAACCAATCACCGTCCCGTCCTCGCAGGCTCTGTGCTCTCCAACATCGTCCCATATGCGGAACAGGTAGAGCTCCACGGTGGCCATTTTCGCCCCAGGGGAGGCTTCGTTTGGTTGGCAACCCAGCAGAAGACGCCCTGAAGGAGGGATTGCTCGGGCAATGGCGGTCCGCTGGTATACTTCCGAGTTGCCACCTATCGTCAGGCTGAAGCTTTTGCGAGGGGCGTCCCACCGTAGACATATGTGGTACCAGTGATGAGTGGTCAGCTGGACAGGGAACTGGTGGCGTACACCCAACAACCAGGCGTACAGGTTGTTTGCATCCCCCTGCAGGGCAAGTTCATAGCGGGGTGCAGGGGCCGAGACATAGCTAAATGCTGTCCACTCACCTGGGGAAAGGACCTGTACGTCCACGCATACCGTGGTTTGAAAGAGCACAGGCATACGCTCCTTCTCCTGTAAGGTCCAGTGGTCATCACACCCTTGCAGGACAGCCTTAGCATCAGACATAAAGAAGCCATCCACTGGGGAGAGAGAGAAAGATAAAAGATTTTTCAAAATTTTTCTCCTTATATAAGAAATTTTAATGATGTCTGTATATAACAGGGCCAGTGTATGTTTTAGTCTATTGGCCGAGACTGATTTGAACTAAACCCATAAATTTATGATCGGGAAATATTCCTGTGTCCCCCTCTCTCATAGCTACAAGGTGTGAGTAGATAGGTCTCATCATTTTGAGGTAAATGTGTTCAAAATTCCGTCTGTATATAACAGGGCCAGTGTATGTTTTAGTCTATTGGCCGAGACTGATTTGAACTAAACCCATAAATTTATGATCGGGAAATATTCCTGTGTCCCCCACTCTCATAGCTACAAGGTGTGAGTAGATAGGTCTCATCATTTTGAGGTAAATGTGTTCAAAATTCTGAAAAAGCTGTGTGTAACTTTAAGGAACGTCTCTACCGAACACCTTTTTTCTGCAATTAAGCACACTTTTTTTGGAGTTATTCCATAACATTTAGTTTTTATATGTATACCACTGTTCAGAACTGTGCTAGAAAACCATGTGCTGATTAGCATCTTTGAGCTAGGTTCAAAAGTATCTAAAATTACATCTTTGGTTTTTTTTAGGTGTTATCCCATAGAATTGTCATTACCGAAACAGTCACTACCGAAACATGTCATCATTGTTTCGGTAGTGACAAAAGGGAACACATAATCCTCATATTTGGGGGAAATAAACACAATTTTAGTACAGTTATGCATTTTTTTTTGTATTTTAGTATGTTTTAGTAGTGTTTTAGTATGTGAGTTAAAATTCTGTAATGTGATGTGGTAGCTACCAAAGCATTACTGTCACTACCGAAAATGTGCAGTCACTACCGAAACATGGGATGTTGTGTCAAATATAAAGTAAACTGAATTATCAACTAAGATGTTATGCTAGTTTTTGGTTCAGTGTATATTCAAACTAATGAATCCTTAACTTGAAATCAGTATTATCAACTTTTTGCCTTTTATAAAGAAAAATTTGATTCAAAATACAACAAATCTCATAAATTGCACTTGAAATATTTTTAAAAATGTAATTATGGATTTACCTCCATAATAATATATTTACAATCTAGACGTAAGCAAAATATTAATAGGTCAATATAACCCTTCTAATTAAATTATTATT